TTTCATGTTTGTAAACTCAATTTCTTCGAGTTGTGCATCTTCAAAACTCTTTCAAAATACATGAAATCAAGTTATTCAAAAATGAATGACATAGTCTATACTTGTATGCTTCACATAGTAATTTTTATAATTAATTAAATAATTGGAATATGGACATATAAAGTTAATAAAATTCATATCATGGTTAGTAGAGGCTGATCTTTGATTGGGTGAGCAGGAGTGCTCAATTAATTACCTTCCCTACTCATACCTAAAGTTCTGAGCCAAGCATCATTGGTTACGATGAATAGTGGCCTTGGCACAAGTCACAAGTTTTCTAATTTTTTCAAAATATTAGGTAGCGCCTCTAAGATCTAGGTCATGTGATGCATTTCTAGCAAATGTTTTGTAATAAAATGGATTTTCTATACAAGTTGCCAAATCTGGACTCTCATCTATGTTGCACATTACACTCCTAAGACTAGATCAACGAAATTGAGGATCTGAACAGTTTAATGCGCATGGGTACCCACTACAACAAGTTGGGTCTTGAATGACGAAATTTTTTTGTCTCTAAAGAGCTAATTTCGTCACTATAGATATTTGTGAGGAAATATTTTCGTCACTGGTTTCGTCATTGAATGTTTGTCACTAAAAACCAACGTGACGAAAAATAATTTCGTCACCAATGAAATTACTTCAGTGACGAAATTTTTTGTCACCAATAAAACAACATTTTGTCACCAAAAATTCTCATTTTCGTCACCAAATAGTTATTCAGTACCATATTTATGACTTTAGTTGACGAATAAATTTGTCACGCATGTTGATCATTGATGAGGAAATAATTTCGTCACAATAAGAATGTGATCCATATGTATGAAGCAGTGTTTTAAAAATTATACGGGGAGTGAATCAGAAAAGTAATTAGGTGAATAGGTAGCTGGTTTAATTTATATGTATGAAGTAATGTTTTAAAAATTAGATTGGTAGGCAAATCAAAAAAGTGATTAAAGGTTTTGTGACCAGAGATTAGTCATTTA